GTTCATTGCTTTGTACTTATTAAATGTAGGCCTATAAGCTTTTCCTTTTTCAGATGAAGCAAACAAAATAATTAGTAAATTAATAAAGTGAACAAAATGATTCGGATTACTTACTAGGCCTACTGCGTAGGAATTATGTAAATTGTAGTTGCTTTTATGTTTGCTTTTATGTTTGTTTGTTTGTTTGTTTGTTTGTTTGTTTGTTTGTTTGTTTGTTTGTTTGTTTGTTTGTTTGTTTGTTTGTTTGTTTGTCTCAGATTGTCATCACTGTGAGTACGGAGTCCGTGAGGGGACATGGGGGGATTTTTGCATCACAGCAGCAGCTGCAGCCTGTTTTTGCTTCGAGCGTGATGATGCTGGCTGGACCGCTGTTTAACGCCCAAAATGGCGGCACGGTTGAAAAGTTTTTACTGTTTTCTTCGAGTTTGTCTTCCTAGCAGAACGTTTCCGTAGTTACTCCAAACTTACGAAGACGTCGGTTTTCTTTTAGACGAGTGAAAAACTGACACTGCCTGACAGAAAGGAAATTAGAAGAAGGAGCGAATTAGGATGGCTCTTCGGCTATCAGCATCTCTGTGCAGAGGCTAGGCTATGTTAGCCTAACAAGCTAACCGCTACCAGACTTACCAAACAAAAGCTTCAGTCCTAGCGTCTTGTCCCACCTGGATCTCCAAGCCGAAGTGAATATGAGGACGATAATCTCCACATAGAAATGGAGGAAGATGTGAAAAAAGTCAAAAAGGTGAGTCGTGAGACACTTTTCAGCAAGTTGGCTGCATGCTAACTTACAACTAGCTTGTCAGAGTGGGCTAGCTGTAAGCTAAGTAGGTAGCCATCTGTCACTGTAAAGTTTAGCCGAAAAGCGAACACATGTGGTGCCTTCACAATAACTAACACGTCGTCTATGTAAAGAGCAAGTTAATACAGTTTAAGTTTGCCTGAAATCTGGTAGGCTTTATGAATGTTTATCATTTTTCATGATATCTGGCGTAAAAAAAAATCTGATGTTTGCTTTATTTGTTTACTTTATGTGGTCTTTTGTCAACGTAGACTGTGGAATCTACCATATAACTCAATGTACATTTTTAATAGTGAGGAAAATGCATAACGTCATACTAGTTTTAGTTGAAAAACTAGTTTTTAAATCAGTGTAACAACTCTTTTTGACAGACGTGGGTCATCCATAAAGCAATTCTTAACATGTAGATTCAAAACATGCTAAAGTCATACATGTTATCTTTACCTTTGAACTAAAACGGGTCGTTGTCCTGACCATTGACTGGACAACACATTTTTTCAGGCAGTGAAATTTCTGTGACAAATGCAGTGTAGCATTTTATTATCAAATCCTAGTTTTACTGTTTCCAGCTGCAGAACGTAAAATAGTGACGTTTTTGTCTGTCTTGTTTGTAAAATATCTCATGAACCACAGAACAGATGTTAATGAACTCTCAAAAAGTTATTTAAACCTGTTTGGAGTCAGTCCAATTAAAGATGACCACCATGGCTAGCTGACCTTACAAGACTGTAACTTCATCAATTTTACAGACATAAACCTAAACCACAGTATGGATTTTAATGAAAATTTTCACTAAGTAACAATTACATCTTACGTCTGGAAAGTTTGTTGTGATGAGTAATAAGTTGACTTGATGTAACTTCTGTGAGCTTTGATGGTAACATTTTGACTTTGTTTTCAGGTTTACTTATTATCACTGAAACCAGTTCCTGTTTATGCCACAAGGTGGTGATAGTGGATCACATTTGGCACTGATGACTTTTTATTACCTGAGTAAAAACCTTAGGATTAAGTAAATTATTCTGGCACCTAAAGAATTCTTTTTATTTTAACAGATAATTTCCACAAATTAATTCTCCTCCATCTCATTGGGAAACTCGTGACATTGCAGAAACGTAAACAGGCATTTTGCCAGCATAGTTAATCAGACAGATATCACTCATACACAACACCAAACCAAATTATTATTCCCAAAGAAGTTATTATTTCTGAAAATAAATGTGGGAAGATTATGACATTTTACCTTGGGACTAATATGGAAAATTAATGTGTTTTTTTAGAAGTAGATTGAGTGTAGAAATTAAAACATCAGTTGTATATGGTTGTAACATGACAAAGAGATGAGTTCCATATTGGATTTGATTGATATTTGTTTCTCGTTTTACATTTGGTATAGGTTCCCTAAAATTACTCTTCAGTACAAAAGGTTTTTACTGGTACTTGTGATTATTCCATAAGAATCAGTATAGTCGTATCAATTTAAAAAAAAAACTAAACCAATAGGAAGTAAGATCCTTGATTTCCTGTCTGTTTTAGAGACTCTTGTCTCACATTTCACTAGCCGAAGCTGTTAAATGTTAATGCAGTTGCCTCTAGTTGGAGCGTACTGTTAAATAATGCAGTGACCTTACGGTTCGTTCTGTTGTCTGAAGTTTGATCTAATGTCAGCACATCAGGCACAAACCAAATGATAGATCAGTAGGTCTAGTACAAAACCTCCAGTCACACGAGCTGCAACTGCTGTCTGCTAAAATGACAGCATTCAGGCATTGACTCGTTTTATTTACTTTTACGTTTCTCTGCTTTCATTAGACGTGTTGGTGAACAATGGCAGAAGGAGTGGAAGGACCAGGTGTTGCAAAACCATAGTAGTGATGCATTGGGAAAGTGATTTTTATCACTAATGGTGGAAAAGTGAAAGTGCTTAATTATGTTCTATGTGTTTGTCTAAATATTACATGAACCACAGGATGAATTTTAATAAAACTTGCAGAAAGTAATCATCGGATAGGGTAGGCCTAAATTATATAGTGTGCAATTAATGGTCAGTAAAACTCACCGAATATTTGGCACTTGGTGAGGACCGCTATTCTTGTCGTATTTAAGTCATTGTGGCACTGAGCTAACACTAAACCTCCCTGGAGTCAAATCCAGGCAAGAGCAATTGTCATCTATAAATCAGCATATTAATCGTTATCAGATAAAGTCACAATTAACCGTGATAACATTTTTGCCAACATCAACCAACCCTAGATTTACGTCTACAACTGATTCACTTTTGGAGTTGGTCTAATTGAAGATTGTCATTGAGTACTATCATACTGTGACTATAAGATCTAACAATTTCTCCCAAGTTGTGCATTAGTGCTGGGCGGTATACCGTTTTGTACCGAATACTGGTTTTTATTTTTGTTATGATTTGAATTTTTTGAAAACCAGACATTCCGGTTTAAATAGTGGAACGTTTCGTCGCGGCCGCCAGTGAACTGTTGTTTCCCGGGGGACATTTTTCCTTGCTGCACCGCTATGTGTGTTAGCATGCTAATGTTTGGAGCAGCTAGTTGCAGCCGTGGGTGGCGATTCCGCTGCTTATATTGACCGACGTTTAAAAAAACATCCCGTTTTCACCGTCGCTGAATGTAGTAAACACCTCTTCAGTGACGTGCACAGTTAGATTTAACGCGGTTAGTTAATATGTAGACGTTATGCTGATGGAGACTTAACGTGGTTTTATTGTGAAAAGCCTGCAGGAAGTAGTTCGTAGTGGAGTTGGAATTGACTGGTGTGCAAGGTGAGTCGTGCTGATAAGCTTTAATAAATAACATAAAACAATAAACCCGATCATAATCTTTTCTTAACCCTCCTCCTTCACGACTGGACCAAAATGCATGACTACTGTCTCCAACCACCAGTCAGAGAAGAACAGACACAGAGGAGGGAAACAGAGACACAGACAGGGGTACAGTAAAAGAAAAAGTCAAACAGGGTTTGTACATTTTATTATCAGCTGAGCTGTGATGAAAAGAAAAATACCGTCAAATACCGTGAAACCGGTGAAAATGTTGAAAAAACCGTGATATAAAATTTTGATCATATCGCCCAGCGCTATTTGTCATTTTTGGCAAAAATGGCTGTAACTTCCTAATTTCTCCATGTAGGATGATTTTAGTTTAAAACTCTGGTGTGAAATAAGATGGCGAAATAAGCATTCATTCAAAAAATGATTGGCCTTTAATGAAATTATTATTTAGAAGCATATTGGATTAATCAGAGCATTGAAGGATCAGCCATAAGACTTCATTGCGTGTTAAAGAGCCCTACTTTAATTTAAATAGGACGTCAAAATGTTTAGTTTCTATCAGAATATTAAAAAGTTTTCCTTTGACAGGTTTTGCAGATTAGTGGTCCTGCTATAAACAGGTTTTCTATGAAGCTTTACTGAAGGGAGTTAATGAGAACAGCATGCTTAAATAACAACGTGCCTAAATCAATAAGTACTGCATATCAACTTTGTCTACGGTTTTTACGTTGTTGAATCTGCAGGATGAACAATGTTTCCGATGTGACAGGTGTGGTTAGAGCAGCAGAATGTACACAGCTTTTTGCTTTTGTGGTTTATCTGTTTTTGACAGACTCTGAGTTGCTAACAGAGAGAGAAATAGAAGAAGGCGAATATGAAATCAATGTTGGACAACGAAAGTAGTAGGTTTCACACCTGCAGCTTTTCGACCATCGTCTCCAGCGGCCAGCTAATTTTCAAAACGGTGTGAAGAGTTGTGCTGTTTAAAAAAAGTGTTGCAGTTACAGAACGAGTCATCACAGGAAGTTGTGGCTTGTTCCTTTCCTGTTTGTGTGCCTGAATGTAAAGCAAGAAAACACTTCCCTTTCGTTTTTCTTTCGTTCTTTCTTTTTTTTTAATGGGGTGGGGTGTGGGGGTCACACCCTACACATGTAACGCTTGTGTTTGCTCCTCGGTGTCAGTTGGCAGCTGTCGGTGTATGCGAGCGTAGGCAGCAGGTGATAGTGTAGCTGGCGTGGCAGCAGCTGTAGCCACGCTGTCAGGTTGTTGTTGTGTAAAGCGTCTAGCTGCCTGAGAGTTCATGGAGAGCGAGGTATGCTTTTTTTTTTTTTTTTCAAAAATCTTTCAATTCAAAATGATTTGCATGCATCAAATATTTTACTGGACTTAAAATTGTCATTAAAACTGATGGCTTTACAAATGAACGTTTTCAAAACAAGTAAATCTAAATAGAAGTGAATACATCACATCAGTAAAGTTTTGCAGTTTCAAGAGATGATTGACATGTTAAATGTTTCCATGATTCATTCTCCAAAATGCAGCGTTCTCACTTGTCTTACTTTTGTTGATATTTGAGCAACGTGTATTGAGTAACATTAGAGGCTGGATTTGTGCTGCTACCAGCACTATGTGGGGTGGGGGGTGGGGGGGGGTGTAGGCTGATAAAGCATGAAGCAGTCAACTCAGGCATTAATTTAGCTGCTGCTTTTGTAAATGAATAAATAACTTTGTTGTCAAAAAGACTCCTGAAGCCTCCGTTTTAAAGCTGTATGTACAATGACTTCTTGCAGATAGACATAAAAGCACAAGTTACTGTTGCTTCTTCACCTATTCTTAACTTTCATTGCCTGTTTTTCAATAGCCCGGACTCGTGTCTCCGTTCAAGCGAGTCTTCCTGAAAGGAGAAAAGGGGCGGGACAAGAAGGCCCAGGAGAAGACGACAGAGCGCAGAGCCCTCCACACCTTCTCGCTGTCTCAGCCTGACCACTGCATCGACCCTGACATCCTGCTCAACGACTACATTGAGAAGGAAGTCAAAGTAAGTGTTGCTAGCAGAGGGGCCTTCAAACATTTAAAATATTTCACATTCTGATAGATGAACCTGTCACCATCAGTACTTGGGGCAGCTGACATCAGTTCCAGGGTACTTGAATCCATCAAGTAGGACAGAAGTCCTGCAGCTTATTGACAACGCAAGGGTAGGCATGATTCAGCTGTTCTGTTTGATTTCTCTTTATTTCCTGTAAACAAGAGAACTGTTACTACGTTGCTCACAGCTCGATGGCAACAAGTGACCTTATAAATTCTTGCCTCCTTGTTGGTCCAGAAGTCCCATCAGTTGGCAGGCCAGCTGACGTCAGAGCAGGATGCAGTGGTGAGCTTGTCCGCGTACAACATCAAGCTGGTTTGGCGAGACGGAGAGGACATCATCCTGAGAGTGCCAATTCATGATATCGCTGCTGTCTCATACATCAGGGATGACTCCATTCACCTTGTTGTTATAAAAACAGGTAAAAGAAAGCTTAGATGCTGGATGATGCAGCCTTTTATTTGCTAGTCACACATACAACCTTCTGTTAAATATTTCATAGCCATCTAAACCGCAATTAAATTCTGCTTAGTGCTGCCTCTACTAATGGTAATGATAATTCTAGATTTTGTCAGGATTGAATTGAAATGATGGCTAGAGCGATTTAAATAGGTCATGTGACTGGGGTCCAGAGGGTTAATATGCCATTATAATTGTAATATTTTAATACCAAGGTATACCACAATACTGTCATACTGCCCAAGCCTGTTACAGTCAGTTTATTTCTACAGGATTAGAAACAATTTGAGTTGACCAAAGTTCTGGACAAATCATACAGTAATATAATTTATATATAATTTTTCTGCATTGTTAAGTTGATCATATTTTATAGTTAAATTGAGAGTGTGAAGATTTTACTCTGCTGGATAAACAGGATCCCAGTGCAGGGTTTCCCCTACATGTAATTGATAGTGGCGCTCCGCCACGGCAAAATAAAAGCCGCCACACCTTCAGAATGATGTTCTTTTTTAAAATTATTATTATTATCATCAACGTAAAACAGGGGTTGACACAACCATTGTTTAGGTTGTCAGAGACAACGAGTGCGAGCTGCCTTTTTTCATTTCTCTGTGGGTGGGTGGTCAGTTTCCCTCAGCTCAGGTGAACACCTCCCGGGAAAGCCTTCAGCGTTTCCTGGACTATTTTCTGCCGAGAATTACGTATTTTATAAATATTAATTCTAAAAGCACCTCACTACATTTCCCCTGTAACACTGTTCACGACCACAACAAAACCGCTACAGATCACCTGACTGTTTTTTAAAGCGAGGGGCAGCGACTGCAGCAGCTGCACCTGTCCACCTGCAGCACAGCTCTGACCAGCCCGGGAAGAGTCCACATGTCAACCCCTTCAGACGTTTACGTGTATAATGAGCATCAAAAATCTGTTTTAACCTCACACGGGTGGGGTGGAGGTGCAAGCGGACCGCAGCCCGGTGGGCGGAACACAATGATTTCAGTGGAGAAACTTGTCAGTTTGGTTAAAATATATATATATATATATA